CCCCCCCCACCCCCGGCATGGGGTGGGTTTGAGGACAGGATGTGGTAACAGGCCCAGGGCCTGGGACGGGCATCGTGAGCCCAGGAGCTCCGGGACTGGTAGCTGAGTCTGCGGGCCAAGCTCGCTCCATCTCCCCCCAACCCAGGCCGCCCGTACCTGCCCGCTGCCCCGGGTATCCATCTTTCTCCTCCGTTTTCTCTTCCTCTCTCTTCTCTTCCCTTTCTTTGCCGTGTGGCCCACTGTGTGTCTTCTCTATTTCTGTCACCTTTCCGCTCTCCTGCTCTTCTGCTCATTTCTGGGGGGCAGAGCTGGATGGGGCTGTAGGCAGATGTTCTGACACCCTCAGCCCCCTTCCCAGGTCAGCCATCCCTCCTCGCTCCCTCCTGCTGCAGACCCCGTCACAGACACGGAGCCTGTCAGGTCAGGGCGTGATGGTGCACGCCCGCCTCATGTCCACGTAGGGAGACAGCCCGCTGCAGGTGCTCAGGTCCCACAGCTGGGCTGCCCCCCAGAGGCCCTGGCCCCCAGCCATGGCGGCAGGTGCCTCCCTGCCAGGGACCTCATGCCCGTGTGTGCTGGGGAGCCCTGCACTCCCTGCAGAACGCTGAGTGGGAACACCATGAAATATTGATACTCTAAACCTAAAATAACTAAACCTTTCATTCTGTGCTGCAGCCGACCCCGAGTTAGGTGAGATTTTAGCAGAGACAGTGGCAACAGGCGCCGGAGGAAAAATTCAGCGTGTTCAGCATACACAGTTGAGGAAAGGCTTTTGTGGGGATTGGGGCACAGGGTGCCTACTTGCAGGTATCCAAGGACCGGTGCCTGCCTTGGGCCGGCGGCCTCACCCACTGCCCTGACATGCCTGCCCCTCCCTGTGTGTCCGGAAGCGCTCACAGCCTGCAGCTCTTGGGGCAGGCGAGGGGACCAGGAGGAATGGAGCTCTCTTGCCTCCTCATTTTGTGCCTAGGCCTGAGGGCAAATGAATTCCCTTTTGGAAGCCTGAGTTCTCGTCTGTAAAATGGCTAAAAAAACATACCTCTTTTGAAATCTACCTTATGAGACGGAGTGACCCCTGGCCTCCCTCCCAGGTGATCCCATGCCCCTCCTGTCCCCATCAGTCACCTGTCCCATCTTGAGCCTCACAGGGGACAGCCCCATGGTGAGACCTTTCAAGTAGATCCTTCCAGCCCCAGTGGAACTGCAGTTTGGGGCCTGAGCCCCCGCTCCTCTTCACCCCTAAGCTGGTTTGAGAATGTTGACTTTTTAGCTGGAAGAAGTCAGTGTCTGCTGTGGGCTCCCTCAGGGAGCCTGGAATCCACCCCTCACTGCACAGTGGAAGTAAACCAGAGAGGGCAGGCCATGCCCGAGGTCACACAGCAGAGTGGCCTGTCTGGGAAGCAACGGAGCCAAGCAGTTATACCCTGGCATATGAGTGAGAGTGTGGTGGTGGCGCGGTACTCTGAGTGCGGGTCTGAGGGCTCAGCTGCCACCACCACTCCAGCACTGGGAGGACTCAGGCTGCTGTGGGCTCTGAACATTGTGCCCCGGGCACGGCTCTCCCTTTGCCTGCCCGCCTGCCTGCCTTTGATGTTTATTCCTTTTGTATTTATTGGTCCAATTTTTATTTTTATTTTTTATTTTTTTTTTAAAGATTTTATTTATTTATTTGAGAGAGAGAGAGAGAATGAGAGATAGAAAGCACCAGGGAAGAGGGTCAGAGGGAGAAGCAGACTCCCTGCTAAGCAGGAAGCCCGATGTGGGACTCGATCCCGGGACTCCAGGATCATGACCTGAGCCGAAGGCAGTCGCTTAACCAACTGAGCCACCCAGGCGCCCCGTATTGGTCCAATTTTTAAACTCTTGCCTTGTGGGAAGCCCTTCAGGGGGCAGGGATCCAAAATAAAATGCTGATCAAAATGCATAAAACACTTCTCCTTTGCCATTGCAGGAGTAACCAGCAGGGTTCATGGTGCCAGAAAGGCAGGAGCAACATGGTGCGTGTCAGCAGCCCTGGTGACCCCTGTAGGCGCAGCCCTGTCCACACCCCTCGATGACAGGGACCCCATGGGGGTGTGAGACTGGGAGACTCGGGCCTGTGTGCCAGCTTGCGCAGGCATCTTAGCCGCTCCAGGCCTCAGTTCCGCCCCCCTTTCAGGACACCCACATGTAAAAGGTGGGGGATGAGGCAGTTTGGGGCCATGCCCTCCTGAAGCTGTCTTGGTCCTATGGAGTATGGCCTGTTGTTCTGCGGGTCTCTCTGCCAGGTCGGGGTCAGGGGGTGGAGGGCGGAGGGCAGCCATGCAAGGCCATGCCAGTCAGCTTTTCCATCAACGGATTTGAATTCCCCCAGGTCCCTCACTGCTCACTCAGAGGGCCCTCAACCCCTGCAAAAGCTCTTGCATACGCTCTGTCTGTCCAAGAACATCACTGGGGGCTCTTCTGTGAGACACAAGCACCCATGACTGACCCAGCATTAAACATACAGGCACAGCGCCAAGTGCTGAGGCTTTGAAGCAGATTTCCCTCTTTGTTCAGGTTGCCAGGAAGCTCACCGCTTTCGTCATTATGCAGGACTTGGTGGTATTCTTCCCTTGTTGGCTTGCTTTATTGTTTTGTCGTCTTGTGGCATACTATTTTCTGTCAGTTGGCTCAAGTGCTTTTTAGAATGAGGCGTGTGCTGTACAGCAGTTGCATAATGTCACTACTAATAAGTATAACATGCTTCGAAGTTATGGGAGAAAGATGATTTCTGACTGCATAGGTTACAGATGGCTTCCTGGAGGAGGTGGCCTTTGGGAAAGGAGGTCACAAAGGCCGCTGGGGCAGGAGGCTGAGAGTGGTCTCCAAAAGGATGGTTTAGAGCCAGGACAAGGTGGGGACACCTGGTTGGCTTCATGGGGCAGACTAGTGGGAGATGTGAACATGGGTCGGGGGGAGGCAAGGTGGTGGTGGCTTTGAATGCCTTATTCTGGTGTGTGTGAGGGGTTTCTGAACATCTCAGGTGACCTGTGCCCTGGCTGTCCCCCCCTTGGTCCTCAGCCCCCTCTCCCGCAGCCCCCACCTCACCCACCAGCTCAGCTCTGAGCTGGGCGCTCAAAGTCCTATTTACCTCCCCAGGTCCCCAGCCTCACTCCCACGCCAGCCCCAGCTGCCGGCCCAATTACGTATTGATCGCCTGTCAGGATGTTTGCTTTTCTGGTGGGTCACTGGAGCGTGTGTGATCGTGGGAAATGGCCTGGTGGGGGTGGGGTGGGGGAGGCCGAACCACAGAGTCTAGAGAGAGGATGAGAGGGGCTGAAGGGAGGGGGGTGGACAAAGCCGCTGGGGATAGTGAAACCTTGCAGATTCCATAACATGTCAGTGACACCCAGAGCCCCCTCTGGTTAATCAGTCACTTAGTCCATCAACAACCCGGGAGCACCTGTCAGGCCTGGGAGGCCGCTGGAGCACCGGAAAGTGTGTGGCATGTCCTGCAGAGCAGAGCTCTGCTCCCAGATCCACCCCCTCTACGGGCTGGAGCCACAGGCTCTTTGAGCCCCTGTTGCCTGAAGGGGCGAATGGTGGGTGACAAGACCTGTGGCCTTGAAAGCAGAGGCTCTGTGCAGGTGTAGGAGTGGCGCTGGGAGAGTTGAGGTAGGGATGTGGGACCCCCCAGCCTGGGCTTCCCCTTCCTGCAGTGAGCCCCCCAGGCGCCATGCGTGTGGAGCGTCTGAACAGGCAGCAGTCGGGCTCTGGTTCAGCCCCCCGAGACCATCAGGCCCACCCTCTGGAGTTTGGAGAAGTCCAGACTCGTCCTCCTAGCCCCCTACTTGCCCTGCTAGGCCAGTTTCCCAGGCAGTGGCACAGAGGAGGGACAGAGGAGATGGGGAGGCAGTCTGGGCACAAGTACGAACAGGTCGCCTTGCAACATGCTGGGAGAGAGTCATGGGGGGCTAGCTCCCGCACACCCCTTGCTTACTCCTCTTGCAGCCTGCACTCAAGCTGGGCCCCCCTCCTGGTGCCGTTACCCCTGTGACCGCCACCCAAGCCCTGCATGTTCCTCAGGACCCAGCTGTGATGAGCCTTGTGTCCTCAGGGCTGCAGCGGGGACTGGCCTCCAGCTACCGGCCCGGCCCATGGCCCTGACTCTACCCAGCTCAGGCCAGCAGCTGCACAGAACCCTGGCTCTAGGAGGGGCGTGATCGGAACCCCGAGACACAGACAGATGAAGTCTGATGGCCCTTCATCTCCCCCCATCTCCCCCTGGGGGTCAGAAAAATCTTCTCGGAGCAGTGGACATTAAATCAGGCCATGGAGATGGGGTTTCAACAGGCAGGGGAAGGGGCATTCCAGGAAGAAAGAACTGCAGGGACCAAGGTCAGGAACACTCATTCGCTGGGCCTTGAGCCCTGAGTTCAGAAGGCCAGGGTGGGGTCACAGCGGACCCAGAGGAAGGGGAGAGTCGGAGAGATTCCACAGGGCGGTGGGGGGGGGGGGCATCAGGGCAGAGTCCCAGCTTTCTGGCTGGGGAGCCCGCCACTGATCAGGAAAGCCCACTGGGAAGCAGATTCATGAACACTGACAGGTGCCACTGGGTTTGCTGATATCCCAGGGCTCTTGGGCTGGGGTTCAACTGCAGTGCCAGTGAGGAGGGGGCCATGGTGCCTGGGGAAGCTGAGGCTGAGAGGGTGGCCCCCAGCAGCGTCAGGAGCCCTGGCCCGGCAGGCTGGGGACCAGACATACTCCTCCGCAGGCTGTTCCCGGAGGCTTCAGCCTTTGAGCCCCTTTGATTCCCTCTGTGAGCCCTGAGGGCAACTCAGCAGGTCTGGCTTTATTCCTGATGAGCACCAGGGGAAGCTGAGGCTCAGGGTGTGCGGTGGGGTATGGGGTGCATGCCTGGATCACATTGCCTATGAAATATAAAATGTAAAGGAGGTGGATGCCACCTGGGGTGCCAATACCAGGCTCCTCTTCAGGGCACCCCACCCCCCATCCCAGGGATGCTGGGGAATTCCTTTGGGAGGGCTCTGGGCAGGGTCAGGAGCATGGAGGAAGCAGCATGGGGTGGCGGGAGACTCTCTGGCCTCGGGATCTGGACCTCACTCTGGGGTCCCGGGCTAGTGTCCTGTGCCACTCTGGGCCCCCCACCCCCCCGCTCTCTGTCTGTGTCAGGGACCCCCTGACAAGGCAGGAGGGCCCAGGGTGGGGCCGGCCAAACGCTGTCCCCTAACCATCGCTTCTGTCCTGTGCTTGCTCCTGGCTGCAGGTGAGCGAGAGGATGCTGGCGGGGGGCGCGAGGAGCATGCCCAGCCCCCTCCTGGCCTGCTGGCAGCCCATCCTCCTGCTGGTGCTGGGCTCGGTGCTGTCAGGCTCGGCCACCGGCTGCCCGCCCCGCTGTGAGTGCTCGGCCCAGGAGCGTGCCGTGCTCTGCCACCGCAAGCGCTTCGTGGCAGTTCCTGAGGGTATCCCCACCGAGACCCGCCTGCTGGACCTGGGCAAGAACCGCATCAAGACGCTCAACCAGGACGAGTTCGCCAGCTTCCCACACCTGGAAGAGCTGGAGCTCAATGAGAACATCGTGAGCGCCGTGGAGCCCGGCGCCTTCAACAACCTCTTCAGCCTGCGGACGCTGGGGCTGCGCAGCAACCGGCTGAAGCTCATCCCCCTCGGCGTCTTCACGGGCCTCAGTAACCTGACCAAGCTGGACATCAGCGAGAACAAGATCGTCATCCTGCTGGACTACATGTTCCAGGACCTGTACAACCTCAAGTCACTGGAGGTCGGCGACAACGACCTTGTCTACATCTCCCACCGGGCCTTCAGCGGCCTCAACAGCCTAGAGCAGCTGACGCTGGAGAAATGCAACCTGACCTCCATCCCCACCGAGGCGCTGTCCCACCTGCACAGCCTCATCGTCCTGAGGCTCCGGCACCTCAACATCAACGCCATTCGGGACTACTCCTTCAAGAGGTTGTACCGGCTCAAGGTCTTGGAGATCTCCCACTGGCCCTATTTGGACACCATGACACCCAACTGCCTCTACGGCCTCAATCTGACCTCCCTGTCCATCACCCACTGCAACCTGACCGCCGTGCCCTACCTGGCCGTGCGCCACCTGGTCTATCTCCGCTTCCTCAACCTCTCCTACAATCCCATCGGCACCATCGAGGGCTCCATGTTGCATGAGCTGCTGCGGCTGCAGGAGATCCAGCTGGTGGGCGGGCAGCTGGCCGTGGTGGAGCCCTACGCCTTCCGCGGCCTCAACTACCTGCGCGTGCTCAACGTCTCGGGCAACCAGCTGACCACCCTGGAGGAGTCGGCCTTCCACTCGGTGGGCAACCTGGAGACGCTCATCCTGGACTCCAACCCGCTGGCCTGCGACTGCCGGCTCCTGTGGGTGTTCCGGCGCCGCTGGCGGCTCAACTTCAACCGGCAGCAGCCCACGTGCGCCACGCCCGAATTCGTCCAGGGCAAGGAGTTCAAGGACTTCCCCGACGTGCTCCTGCCCAACTACTTCACCTGCCGTCGCGCCCGCATCCGGGACCGCAAGGCGCAGCAGGTGTTCGTGGACGAGGGCCACACGGTGCAGTTTGTGTGCCGGGCGGACGGCGACCCGCCACCCGCCATCCTCTGGCTCTCGCCCCGCAAGCACCTGGTTTCGGCCAAGAGCAACGGGCGACTCACAGTCTTCCCCGACGGCACGCTGGAGGTGCGCTACGCCCAGGTGCAGGACAACGGCACGTACCTGTGCATCGCGGCCAACGCGGGCGGCAACGACTCGATGCCAGCCCACCTGCACGTGCGCAGCTACTCGCCCGACTGGCCCCATCAGCCCAACAAGACCTTCGCTTTCATCTCCAACCAGCCGGGCGAGGGAGAGGCCAACAGCACCCGAGCCACCGTGCCTTTCCCCTTCGACATCAAGACCCTCATCATCGCCACTACCATGGGCTTCATCTCTTTCCTGGGCGTCGTCCTGTTCTGCCTGGTGCTGTTGTTCCTCTGGAGCCGGGGCAAGGGCAACACGAAGCACAACATCGAGATCGAGTACGTGCCCCGCAAGTCGGACGCGGGCATCAGCTCCGCCGACGCGCCCCGCAAGTTCAACATGAAGATGATCTGAGGAGGGGGTGGGGGCGGGGGGCAGGGGCCCCCGGGGCAGGCCGGGCAGGGGAAGGGGCTTGGCCGCCGAGCGCTCGCTCCTCAGTCCTTCCCGCCGCTCCCCTGGCCCCCCACACACATCCCTGTTCCCTGCGGCTCCCTCCCACCCCCCCCCACCCCCTGCCGGCCCTCACCGCCTGCCCTCTGTCTACCAGGACCTCCGCAGGCCAGGCCTGGGGACCCCACCTGCACAGGGCCACCCGTTGACAGACTGGAGTCAGAAGCCGACAGACCGACACGCGGCACAGTCAATAATTCAATAAAAAAAAGTTACGAACTTCCTCTGTAACTTGGGTTTCAATAATTATGGATTTTTATGAAAACTTGAAATAATAAAAAGAGAAAAAAAAACCTATTTCCTATAGCTAGTCGGAATGCAAACTTTTGACGTCCTGATTGCTCCAGGGCCCTCTTCCAACTCAGTTTCTTGTTTTTCTCTTCTTCCTCTCCCTCCTCCTTCTCTTCCTCCTTTCTCTTCTCTTCCCCTATGGGGAGGGATCACTCAGGAAAACAGGAAAGGAGGCTCCAGCACCCCCCTGCCCGGGCAGCTGACAGGAGCGGGCAGGGCGGCAGGTGCGGGCCCGGCTCCGGGCTGGCCGTCTGCAGGGAGCAGGCGGAGGAGACAGGGCTGCCTGGTGGGGGTGGGGGCTGGTGGCCAAGCCGCCGGGAAGCAGTACTGCCGGGGGTCGGGGGCCCGACTCGGGTGTGGCTGAGACTCTGGACAGGGGCTGGGGTCCTCCTGCAGGACGGCACAGTCAGTGCAGAGGGCCAGGAGCTGGAGGCGGGACCGAGGCCTAACTTCTGGTCCCAGCTCTGCCACTGACTTACTGTGTGGTTTCAGACAGGTCACTGACCCTCTCTGGGCCTCAGTCTCCGCATCTGTACAAATGGAAACGTGACCCCCCGCCCTGCCTACCTCACAGGGCTGTTGTGAGGAATTGATGAGATGATGTATGTGAAACACTTTGTAACCTGTAAAGCGCTGTGCACATGTGTGGGTGACTGTTCTCATTATGGTCATTATTATCTCACCATGGGGGGAGTGTGGGGTCAGGCTTGGGGGCAGATCGGGGAAGGGCCGCTGGCTCCAGGGACTTGCAGAGGCTCCCCTTAGAACAGCGGCCCAGGCCGCCGCTGTCCGATGAGCCTAGCCGGGGCTCTGAAGAGTCGTGGGTGTGGGAGCGGGGTCCACTGCACTGGAGGTGACCTGGAGGGTCAGACACCACCCCGCCCGCTCACACCAAACCGGGCCGCTCCAAACTCGGCCCTCGGAAGGGCTATCCCAGATGACAGAATTGCCAAGGGCCAGTCCGGTCGCCCTGTCACCTTCCCTGACTCCGTGGGCCCTGGCTCAAGAGGCTGGGGACTAGCTTGGCCAGCATCTCTGTCGGGCCAGGAGGGTGCCAGGGTCAGGCAGGCCTGACTTCTCCCCTCCACTGTTCCCTCTTTCTCCTCAGGGACCCCTTGGATTCAGCCTCGAGGCAGGGTGAGCCCTGCTGCCTGTAAGTCCTCAGGTCAGGGAAGGATCCAGTGATGCAGGAACGGACGGGCACACACTTAGCTGAACGTGGAGGGGAAGCCCTAAGGGGGGTCAGCACTCAGCAGACTTCCAGAAGGTAGCGTCTCCAACTGGGGGTCCTCCTGGGGCGCACATGCCCAACCTGAGCTGGCATGGACCAGGTAGCACCTTCTAAAGCAAGCCTCTGTTGGGGGGGCATGGTGAGCAGAGTCTGGCATGGAGTTGGCACTCATTCCCTCCCTCCCTGGATCTACCGATGTCCCAAGAGCCGGCTCTGCTCCTGGCTCCCCACTGATGCAGCTTGTAGCTGGGCCACGCCGCCCTGGCCCCCTCTCTCAGCAACCACCCCAGGCTGCCCCTGGCTCTGGGGAGGCCTCAAGCCCTCGGAACTGTGGTTTTATCCCCTGGAACAAACAGGAACCTCCCCCCATTGGATTCTGGTGTGGAAAAGGTTGATGGTCCCTGGGGAGCAGGCTAGACTAGTGATTATAGGCTCTGAGCTCTGAGCTTTGGGTTTGAGGTCCTGTTCTAGCACTGACTAGCTCTTCGGGACTGTTACTTAACCCCTCTGAGTCTCGGTCTCTGTCACATAAAGATGATCTTACTGCTTTTCGTCGTTAGGACATTAAATGAAGGAGCATAGGTATACTTGTTGTTCGGTGTGATACCTGGCACCCGGTAAGCCCTCTACCAGTGCTGGTGGTGATTCCTATCAAGGCCAACTCTGGTACAGATGCAGAGGCTGAGGACCAGAGAGGGTGGTAGTGTATCCAAAGCCACACAGCTTCTAAGTGACAGGACCAGGGCCTGGGAGTTCCAGATTCCCAGAGCCACAGACTCCTAAGTCTGGCTTGGGACTTCTCGGAGCCACGCCTGGGGACCCCCACCTACCAGGAGACCACTTTGGGGAGCACAGGAACAGAGAGGGGAGTCCTTGGGCAAGGGGGTGGCTTGTACATAACAAGAGGCCAGTGGTGTCACCTGAGGTTCCAAGAACCTGATAGGCCTGCTCACCTCCAGAGAGAGGCACACAGCCTATCCACGACTCCAGCCCTAGATACCTTGTTGGGCACCGTTCTCCCTCAGGAGCCAGCCCGTGGGATTGTTACTTACCCCTCTGAGAGGCCTAGGGCTTCACAAGCTTCTGGTAAGAGCAAGTGGTTCAAGGGGCCAGTTTATTCTTGGCTACTTTGAGGGAACCAGACCTCTGAGGAACTTCAAGGACACAAGAAAATTGTGAGGTGGTTTTCAGATAGGAGAGAGAGTCCTTTTGGGGGAATGTCAATGCCCAGGGCAGGAGGCTGGGTTGGCCCAAGCAAAGGCAGTCTGGGTTTTAGAACTGCTCCTTCCTAGGCATGGGACCTCCATCTATCAAAGATAGTCATGAACTCAAGAGCCCTGCCAGATTGAAGGGGGAATGGCCTGCAGAGTCAGCCTGCAGCAAGCACCTGGGTCACTGCCACCCCGCCCCTGCCCCTGGTGTATCCCTCACCAGTGAGAATCGGGGGCCCGGAGAGGGGAAGTAACCCATGCAGAGTCACCCAGCAGAGTGATGGATGGGGCCTGGGCTTTGGGGTCAGGCAGACCTTGGGTCCAGTTCCATCTCAGGTGAGACAGTTGTTTGCTGTTGTATGATTTTCACCACCACAGTACCCTTACAGACAGGCAGGGAAGTGGCAGGTGTACTCAGGAACGGGGAAGGAAAGGGACCGGACGGAGGACAGTGGGAAACAGCTGGAACTTCAAATGAGACTGGGGTAGAAGCCAAGCCTAGTGATGCCCTCTGATTTGCCACGGAAGGCCTCGGGGCTGTGTGGGAGGATGGGAGCAGACGCAGGCCATCACTGCAGTTTGCCCAGGACAGAAAGAGTGGCCATGCTCTGGGGCCCTGGAGGACAAGGCCTCCCCCTGCATGTGTTTGCGGGGATGGAGGTGACAGGGAGCCAGGGAGAAGGGGTCAGAGGAGCAGTGTAGACCCTGGCCAGTATTAGGAGTCCTGGGGGACCTTGAGCCTTTTAGGGCCTGAAGTCAATGTTCATGAGGTATAAGGAGCGGGCGCAGCACAGACCATCTGGGATTAAGTGATTTATTGGGGACCTCACAGAACCTGGTTCCGTGGTCTATCATCTTTCCTGCTTCTCTCCCCAGTATTATGTCCTCTGGTAACAAAACCCCAACTCCAGCCTCTTTCAGAGTCCGGCTTGCTAGGGTCTCTGATCTCTTCATTCATAGTCTCCTGAGCAGGAGAATCTGATTGGCCGCCTGCTATCAATGGATTGGCTGCCCTAAGTCAGGTGCTCATCCCTTTATCCAATTAGCTGAGGCCAAGGAACTCAACCCGCTCTAAGCCAAGTTTGGGTGAAGATGATGCGGAAAGAGCTAACGGACCCTATCAGTTATTTATTGCACATGACAACCACCCCAAAACTTAGTGGTTCAAAATAACAAGCATTTATTTGCTCCAACGCGCAACCTGGGCAGGGCTTGGTAAAGGCAGCTCGGCGCTGCTGTGCGTGGTGTTGATTAGGGAGCCTTGACTGCGGCCGGAAGATCCACAGCGGCTTCTGGCCAAGGCTGTCTCAACGCGGGAGGCCGGAAGGGCTGGAGGCCAGCCTGCTCCTCCATTTCCCTGTGGTCTCTCCAGCAGGCTAGCTGGACTTTTTCATGGTGGCTTGGCACTCTAAGACGGCAAAACGGAAACTGCCAGGTCTCTCGAAGCCTAGGCCAGTAATCAAGGCAAGTCACAGGCCCGCCTCGCTTCGAGGGGAGGGAGGACAGCCTCCAGCTCTCGGTGGGAGGAGCCGCGAAGTCACAGGACACAAGGGCATGCAGGACGCGAGGGTTGGTGCAGCCACCTCTGGGGACCTCCATAGGGACCTCAGAGGCGCCTTTGTCCTCCTAGGAACCACTCATTGGCGCACAGACCTCTACAGTTTACCCGGGAGTAGGGAATTAGCGAGAGCAATGATGACTGCCCCACAGATGGGTCTCTAGCTGGTAAGGAAAGAGTCAGGACTTGAACCAAGCTTGCTGCCCCTGGGCCAGTGTCCCTTTGAGCAGAAGCAGGAGGCAGAGGCTCCCCGGGAGTTATATGGCAATAGTAATAGTCATCACTGCCCACAGGCCAGATGCTACCCCTACGTTGTCTTTTTTTTTTTTTTTTTAAGTAGGCTCCACACCCAGCACGGAGCCCAACGTGGGGCTTGAACTCACGACCCTGAGTTCAAGACCTGAGCTGAGATCAAGAGTCCGTCGCTTAATTGCCTGGGCCACCCAGGTGCCCTTCACTTATGTTGTCTCATTTAATCCCACCACGAGGAGGTTTAATCTCCTTTTCCGAGGAGAAGGCAGGCCCAGGGAGAAGTGACTGTCCCGGGCTGCCCACCAGGGAGGTGATGAAGCCCAGATTCCTACTCAGGGTGCCAGGACTTCACAGCAGACAAAGCACCAGACTGGGTCCCTCACACTGAACCATCCCGGAACCGGGCTTCTCCTGTGTGGATGTGGCCACAGTCACGTCACCTCCCATGGCCGTCTTCCTTTGTGGGTCGGTAGTGGACCATGTGCTGTGGCACAGGTGGGTGAGTGCAGGGGCGGGGGGGGCACAATCAAGGCTTCTACCAGTTCCCCCTCCCAGTCCCCAGTCCACCTGGCCTCTCTGTGGGACCCAGAGGCCCAGCAGCCTGTTGTGAAGACCTGCAATCTGGCCCTGGTACCTACTGGGGCACTGGGTACTACTGGGCGGGGGTCCATGCAGTGCAGCCCTGGGGGTTCAGAGCCTTCCCCTGGGGGTGCCAGCTCTGACTGCCCGAGGTAGTTGATTGCTCAGCCTGTAAAGGGATTTGCAGCCTCCCCATAAACCTATTACGGCTCATGCTGTGTCCCCAGCCCAGGCCCGGTCATCGTGCCGGCGGACTGCTGGTGTCTGGGAAGGCTAGGGTGGTGGGTCCTTTGGGAGCCATGGAGACTAAGCACGCCCCAGTGTCTCATCTCCCAGTTCCGTCATGCCTCGGCCCTCACACCAACCCCTGTCCTGGATGTGACCCCCGCAGGCACCAGGGCCTGGCCCTTCCTCAGCCCCTCCAGCTATATCCCCCATCCCTTCACTCTTGGTCTGGGCTGTGACACAATACCCTGGAGAAGGCTCATCCTGGGGATGGAGCAGCAAGAATGTTCTGGAGCAAGAGGAGGGGGAAGCTGATGGCAGAGGAAAGAAACAGCCGGGCAGGAGGGAGGGAGGGATGACTACCACGCCGGGTTCCCAGGATCCAGAGCTCGGCCTGAGTGCCGTGACTAGCGTGACTGTTTCCCGGTTTTGATGATGAGAAACATGAGTCTCAGAGAGGCTGAGCCAGTGCCCGAGGTTGCACAGCTCAGCAGTAACAACTTGGAAATCACACACACAAAAATGTTCATGGTGCTCCCATTTTGCAGATAAGGAACTGAGACTCAGAGAGGGGAGCTGACAGGTCCAA